AATTAATAATAATCATTGGAATGGCTCAAACTAAAACCATTTCGGTAGGGATTTGAACGATAGTAAAAATTTTTCAAAAAATGCCCCAGTTGTTTTTTAAAGACTATGGTTGAAACATTCTGTGCAACTTGTACAGTAACAAGCTATCTTTGTTTTGTTTTGATTTCTCAATCGTTAAGCGTCACAATACTTAGGATTTGAAAATGAAATTACACAAGACGTCAATTTTTAGGATTTGCTAAATTTAAAGCAAAACAAGTTCTCTGATAGCTCCTGTAAATCCAGTGTATACCGAAACTTGATATTTCAGACTGTTGAATCTCACCGACAGCGGTAACAAACAAATTAAAAGCAACAAAGTTAACAAACCAACACTACTATCCTTAAAAAGCTTTACAGTTTTCTGAGGTTTCACTATGAAAACTTGAGATTGAAGCTGAGAGATAGTATCGTACTTGAACCGAGCAAATTAAATTCTTTGATGAATTCAGAATGATTAAAAACCCTCAATGAAAAACGACCACAAACCCTCAATTAGGACAAAAACCACAAATCTGAAAGAAAGGGACTAACCACTTATTTAAAAGAAAAAAAATTACTCGCTCTTTCATTTGGAAGTTTGTGAAAAAAGTCCGCACCCTGATTTTTTAGATTGAATCCCTAATACCAGTTTTAGTTGGTTATTCTCGACAATAGTGACGTGAAAAACATAGAAACTTAATATTGAGTTTTCCAAATCCATATCAGCTTTTTTCTTACAAAAACAGAGTAAAACAAATTAGGCAGGAAAAAATGAAGTATTAAGTCGTTTCAATCAAATATCAACTTCGGAATCAGCAGGCTAGTTGTCGAAAAAATCATAAGATTTCAAAAATGGGTAAAACTAAATTTGAAATTTTGGTTAATTTCTATGGCCATTTTTATCTCTAAACGCAGTGCATTTTTTCATTGTTTTTCATGAAACAAAGAAAAAGTAAAATGTTCAATTATATTTCTGTCATTTTTTTGCCTGTTTACGAAAAGTTTTTTATATAATTTTCAGAGATGGAGGCACAACAAATGTGCAAAGTCAACCATGAAGAAAACGTATTTGAAGCTGGCTTGCTTAGCATTTAAAACGAAAGATCATTTTACACTTTTAAAAAGATTTGAAAATGTGCAGTAAGGAGTTTCAGTAGAAACTTTTCTAAGAACAATAATCATTAACGGTTCATACATTTCATTACAAAGTAGAAAACCAGCCGACAGAAATTAAGACAACAACCACAAATCTGAAAGTAGGGGAATAACCAATTATTTAAAAGAAAAAAATATCGCCCTTCAGATTGAACCCCTAATATCAGTTTTAGTTGGTAATTCTTGACAATAGTGACATGGTTTCTTCTTTTTTTTTTTTAAAAAAACGTAGAAATTTAATATGGAGTTTTTTAAAATCACAATTAGTTTTTTGTTTACAAATAAAACAGAGTAAAATAAAATAGACAAAGAAAAATGAAGCGTTTCAATTAAATATCAACCTCAAATCAGCAGGCTAGTTGTTGAAAATAAATAAGAAATTTTCAAAATAGGTAAAACTAAACTTTAGAAGTTGGTAAACTCCTAAGGCAATTTTTTTTCTCTAAACGCAGCGCATAGCCGCTTGCGCAAGTAAGGGTCGCATAACTTATTGTTGTTGGTTACATTTCAATTTTAGTGAATAACCAGGTAATTGCTTCTTTTGATTGAGTCGTTTATCGCAAATTCGTGCATTCAAAATTTTAGAAATGAAAGAAAATTCAAGGCAAGTAGGCAAATAATACCTTAGAACGTGAGGTAAAAGGAAAAGAGACTAACAAAAACAACAGACACAAAAGAGCAGCTTTTCAGCATGCCAGAAAGGAGCATGTCGGAAGAAATTGTAAAATTTGCCGGGAAGAAAATCTTGTGCACGCGTATAACTACCTGCTCTCGCAAAAGAAACAAGGTTTGAAAGAATCCTCGATGAATTGGAATTGATTAACTGTTTAAATTGACTCACCTCGTCGCAGCTTGGTTAACAAAACATTTTTGTGCTGCAAGGATGAATACCAGTTAAGTTCAATTCACGCGTGTAGCGGAACTATCTCAAAATCTTTTTCCAATACAAAGATGATTTTGCAAGCAGAAAAAAAAGAAATTATGGCATCGATTCATGCATCGTGTAGAAAAATAGTTTGCTATATTAATCACTGATATTTGACTTTCTACCTTTTCAAATCACAGAATCCAATTTTTTATTTTCTATGTTCCCATCACATTGAAGGTATAGGAAGAAACTAAAGTTCAGCTAGTGTTTTCCCACCCATTTTTAAGTCAAGTAGAGCGCCCTGGGCTTTATTGCGGCTTTGGCATTACCGGAGACCGCAACTTACCCTGTTTAGCTATTGAGCTAGTGTTGACCTTAAAAAGAAAACAAAATTGAACATTTTATTTAATACCAGTTTTGTTCAATTACAAAAAATTTCCTTAAAAACTAAACCACATCTATGGTTGTCTTCTCTCGTGCAGTACTTTCCTTTTCTGAATGAAGAATTTCTAGGAATTCTGTGACTGAACGCCACTTATTAGCCAGTCAAAATTAGTGACACAGCCCTCAGTAGCATGACTCTTGCTATTTACTACAACCACGTAAGACAGAAACTTCAGTTATCAAGCAAGAAAATGAACAAAAATCTTTTCACGTTTGTGGTATTTTCTCGACCACTAAAAAATCCCGGTTAAAAATCGTTTGACGTGTGCTAAATGAAATTCTTCTTTAGACAGTAGCCGGGTAAAAAAAAACGTTGCTTAGTTATATAAATAGTGAGCGACAGAGAAGTTTTCTTCGCGCTGAAAATTTGACGTAAACAGCACATTTAGTTTGAAAATTTACACAAAAAAGTTCTCAATAAAAAGCTAAGCTCATCTCAACTAGGCTCTCATGCAATTTATATTTCCCATAAAAAAAGAACTAGATTTTCTTAAGCTTTATTAGTAAAATTGGCTGAATATTCAGCAATTTGTATAGTAAAATACAAAAAGTCGGAGTTTTGTTTAACTTCCTAGCTGATTATATATCTCAGCGGACCCCGACGCACACAGTGCACGTCCCGTAGCTATCCTAGCCATGCCGAGATTGAGCTGGACACTCTTGCTACCTGGTCACTTAAAGGGAGCGTGTGGTGCAAACGACATCCCACCTTATGTGACCAGCTTGGATCCTATAGGGGCACCACTCCTATTCAATCCCACTTGTTGGCCCTTGATCATCATAGATAACCCACAGGGATAACTTTAAAAGGTCTCTGGCTTAGTTTGAGGTCTTTGGCTTAGACCGATGAGCATAGCTCATGCACTACTTGGGCAGGAATCTCGTATCGCCAGCTTTTTTTCCCCTACTTGCAGGTTCAACTTTCGGGTCCATACTAACCGGCAAGTTAAGATCCTTCAACAATCGCCGGTAACTATAGAACAGCTACCGCTTTGAGGGAAGAGTATCCCTAAAACTCCTTTAAAGAGAAGGGTTTTTACACGACTCTGCAAGCATAGACCTTCGCCGAACACGAAGCCGTACGAAGTATCGATAGACGTACGGTAAACCTGCCAATGGTTAGACCAATGGCAGGAGGGGCACACGCAGTACAAAGATGTCGGGTATCCCCCAAGGCTCACGTTTGCCGAAGCAACGCTCACCAAGGTTTGGACCTACGTCTCTAAGCACTGGGCAATGCGGCGTGTGACGTTTGCAGAAAAGGCCTCGTTTGATGAACCATCGGTGATATACTGTAAGCTCTCCTGTATAACGCACAGGCAGACAGGAAATACAAGTACCTACCCGACAGTCCAAAAGCTCAGACCAATTCCCCAGGATGCAACGGGGTAGATCCGATTACTGCGGACCACGCTGCAAAGGACTACACCACTCGAGGAGGCGTCACCCTGAAGCATCCCATAGCTGAGTAATTATTTGTACACCTGTTCAAGTAAGGAAAAACTTATATGAGGGCCTAGCTGAGATCCCTTAGCTTTCCAATGAATACTTTTAGGTCCATAATTCAAACAGCTTGTGCTGATCATGGAGATTTTTTGACACTAAGAAAACTCCTCAGTAGCTCTCTAATTAAAACGCCCAAGGACTCCTTTACATGAATTTTTATGGTTTTTTATCCGGATTTTAGCTTGACAGAGTTTCATCTTTCATTTGTCAAAGTTTCACCCGTGAATCTTTATTAGTTGTAGAGAAACCGGCACAAACGTGAAAATGTTTTCGTTCTTTTTCTCGCATGAAAACTAAAAATTAGAATTTTTAAGCCTCGTGACTGAATGAATATACATTGCGCTTTTCGATTTACATAATGTTTTTTTATCTGTTTCAACTTTATTCATACTATCTATCACTTCAAAGGCATATGAATGCATACAATTTTTTTGCTCAACATCATGTTGATTTCGAATTTATGTCAAAATTTTCCGAAAACGCGTTTTTGCTGAGTTTTGTTCTTTAATTTTTTGGCGCACAAATTTTTGACAATAAAAAGGTCTCAATGGTGTTTTAGATTTCGGAAAATCAATTTGACACTTATAAAATGGTCAACAAAATTTTCAGAAATATCTTGAAAACAGCTAATTCCAAGACAAGATCCTTCAGCAACCCGTATACACTAGACAACCAAAATGCGAAAAATTAAAAAAAAAAACGTTCGAGAAACGGTGTTTCAAAAAATTGTTTTTAAATCGACTTTTAAGGAAACTAAAAAAAAAACGTGTTTTTTTCCGTGCTCCGCAAGTTCACTGCACATTGCCTACAAAAAATTTTCCGGTTGAACATTAAAAAGAGCATCAAAAAGAAGATAGTCAAAAAATGTTATGTAATTACTCGAGCTTTTTGCTTACTTATTGGAGATTCCAACGATATTTTCAAAATCTCATTGGCGATCACATGTGTTTTGAAATTGGAGATTCGAAATAATATAGTCCTCTAAAAATTGGGTTATAATGGGTTTTTACGCGATTGAAAGACTCCTGCTTCAAACCTCGCAATATATATGAAAATAATTTTAGCCTTTATCCTTAAATAGTATTCATTCCATTCAGTTTTTAAGCAACCTTCATCAATGTTATTTACAAGAATAGCTAACAAATTCAGCTTATTAAGTTCATTTTATTTCAGTACAAATCAAAAAGTTTTGGACGAGTCCTCTTTCAAAGTGACAGTTCTGTTGAAAATCAATCCATTTTCCACAGAGGAGTCAGGATCAACTGAGAAGTATCCGATCCTTTCAAACTGGAATTTGTCGAACTGCTGAGCGTCTTTCGCTCTGCAGTCCACTCTAGCTCCTTTTAATTGGGTGAGCGAGTGTGGGTTTATGTCTGACAAGAACCCTCCTGGCACCTCTGCTTTGTCCTCTGGGCACTTGTGCAAAAAGAGTCTGTCGTAGAGACGAAATGTACACGGTAGGCTGTAGTCACACGACACCCACTGTATGTAGCCCTAAAAATAACCCAGTTTGAAATTATTCCTCAAGCGCAATGTAATCTTAATCTGCACAGCTCATATGGTGCTCATACAGCGCATATGAAAAACTTAACCAAAATATTCACAGCAGTTAAAACTCAACTGACTGACTTTTGGTTTGCTGGAGTCACTCCTTGGACTGATTTCTCCTACGATGTAAGATATATCTCCTTCTTTGTCAAACTCAACCTTGACGGCAGATAACACTTGATCGGCGTATTTCAGTCCAACAGGCTGGCTTAGCGTGAGCCGTTTGAAATTTTTATCCGCTTTCTCCAAAAAATCAGAAGCATCAATGAAAATCTCTTTCGTCAAAGTCACCGTCCGCGAACCCTAAAACCAACAATTCAACTTCTTTCCAATTTTAACATCTCTATTTTTATCACTTGGCGTGATTCATTAGCCACTGGCAAAAAAACGCTATTTCCCCACACATAATGTTTTCATAACCCAAATTTCTTAGCAATCCATTATGCATCAGAAGCCTGACCTTTTCGGGACTTTCTGGGAAATCTGGAATAGTGATGTTGGTTGATAAATTGCTGGCTTCGAAATTGGATATGAGGACCCTCAGAGGGGATGAGATTGCCATCACTCTCCGGGCATTTCGGTTGAGGTCCGTCCGCACACAGAACTCAAGCATCTCTGGGTCGATAGTTACCTGGGCCATAGTCACACCTAAACAAGAATAGCCAGCTGCTATGCAAGTACCACAGAATTTTCCCAACAAAATTCTCAGATTTCTATCTTTTTTTTTACTCAATTAAGTGCCTTTTCTTATACGTCGTGTGATAATAGAACTATAAGAACGCCTATAAATTTAGTGAATTAGTCATTAACGACAACAATTCTCTTCTAAAAATAAATGAACAAAGACTTTTTTTTAATTTTTACAAAAAAATTTTAATACTTAGTTTTTTTGCCACAGAAGCGCCTTTTAGTTCTCCTTTTAGTAAAACCGGGTTTTTTTAGCCGAAATTGCCAATTTGCTTATGTAAAGAATGTTACGAGATCGCTTCACTCGCTCGAAAATAGATCGGTTTTTCTCGACACTGAGAAAATTTTCTGGAAATTATTTAATGTCGTTCGAATCACGACTGAAAAGGCTCTAATATGATATATCACTCAACCCAGACCGATGATTATTTATGGTACCTAATTTTGCATGAAAATTAAAACGCACCCGAATAAAAAGTTCTTCCCCATTTTCAATGGTCGGAACAATTAGTTGTGACAAATAAATCAAAGTGCCATTCAATTCGATATAAAAATTATAATAGAAGGCATCCGTGCCACTAACAATGCTTTCAGTGAGAGAAAACTTGCAGCACTAATACCTTCTCTAGTATTTGATGGGAGAAAATTATGTTTTATTTCTTTAAGGTAAAAATAGAGATGAATCGAGAATAACAAAATCATTATTCCTGCGCAAAATATTTTTTGACGAAACAATTCACTAAGTTCTTTTCTCATTTGAACTAAGGTTTATGTAAGTATTTAAGAAACGATTAGTTGGCCATTGCAATGTTAAAAACCTTGCCTATTGCATTCCTTTTTCCAATTCTGAGCTTCAAAATATTTCGAAATGAGGCATGTGAACTGACCGAGTCTATGGACGAAGTCGTTGACTGCAGTGTGTGGGTACCCCTTCCTCCTGAGAGCAGGCAAGGTAAACAGCCGAGGGTCATCCCAGTCCTTCACATGCCCAGTCTCAATCAGCTATGACAATCATCCCCAAGTTACAACACACAGACGAAGCAGAGCTGGGCACCACTTGCGATAGAAAAATGAATGACTCTAACTAATTGCAGAAAGCGAAGCGAAGCACCACACCACTTGTGATAAAAACTCATCGATACCATGACAAACTAACCGACACTTAGAGATGAAAGCCGTGGAAAAAATATCGAATAAACTGTCCTGACTGGTCTACCAAAAACTGATCTACCGAAACTTGTCTTGATTTTGTTTTGAATAAAAACTGCTTTTATCAAAATCAGCCGAGAAGTTAGACCATTAAATCTAAAATAAACACCGGAACAAATCTTATAAAGCGGTAACAAAACCGATAATTCTTGAAGAGTTCTTAAAAAACGATGACTTTGAAATTCTCATTAAATTTCAAAAAACTTTTGTGATTACCCCTTTTTCGGTAAAAACTAACCCAATTTGAGAAAACTGGATCAATAGGTAAAATTTTTATTTCGCTGGGAAATCTAATAATTTCATTCCACTTTCTAAACTAGAAGCCGATCACGTTTTTGTGACCTTTACATTTTCGCTGTTCGATAGAGGAGTTTGTCTTCCTTAAACAAAAAAAATGGACTGAACTTGAAAAGAAATGAAAAATCGCCAAAACCGCCAAAAAGTAAATTTGAGCCTGAACAAATATCAAAACTTTTCCTGTAAAACAAAAAAAATCATCACGACCTTTATAAGAGTCTGAATTACTTTCATCGAATCTTAAAAACAAAAAAAATTTAAGTCCGCCTAAAAACAGTTAGACATTTTTGCTCCTCAAAAAGAATCCTCTAAGCCGGTATAGTATTTTTTCGTTTTCAGTTTCTCTTTATTCGGCTTAAGAGGTTTCGGGGGATGGTATATCGGATATACTATCCCCCGAAACCTTTTAAGCCGAATAAAGAGAAAATGAAAACGAAAAAATACTATACCAGCTTAGAGGACTCTCAGTTGAATTACGATAGTAGAGATGGAGATGACCACAATTTCATTCATCCTGAAAACAAAGTTATTTACGGGAAAAAAGGAACTCTAGTACCCGATTGCAATACCCTTGCTTATCGCAAGGGTAAATATTCATTAACTTGTCGGCAAACATCACCTAACACAGAGTAGAAAATGGATAAACTGCTTTAAGATATCCAAAAGACCATATATACTTTAGCTTGCGAATTTGCAGGTACCAAAAATCAATTGGCTTCAACCACTGTTTTTGATAAAGAGATCGTTGGATAGTTGGTCTTGACTTTCGATACAGGAATCCAAGGGAATTTTGAAAAGAGTACAAGCATAGCTGGAGTTTGAATTGGTACCTTGAGGATTTTTCTCTTGGACACGACACTGTAGTTCATGTTGAGTCTTCCGTACTCCCACTGAACTGGACAGTAGACGTCCACTGCATCACATAGCCAGTAGTACATGGAACGATGGCTCTGGAACTCCTTAGTGCAAAGAGAGTGGGTGATGTCCTCAATGGAGTCACAGAGAGGGTGGGTGAAGTCGTAGGTTGGATAAATGCACCACTTGTCCTTCGATCTAAACACAACACATCTCAATTAAAGACTTGTCTAGTGATGCAGCTCAATAAACAAACTCCACAAACACTAGCTTTTTTGAGGCCATCTCACATTAAAACTAGGAACAGGGCGATAACGCGTGAAACAAACGCGCTTTGTCAGCAGATCAAAAAACTTCAGACAGTCAACATAAATCGAAAAAAATATATATCTACTTTCTTGAAAACTTTCGTGAAAACTATTTGAACTTCAATTGTTTAGGATCAATTGAGCAATCTCCCCCCCGTAATGACCAATTGAGCTATCTCCCCCCCAGCAAAAATGAATAAACTCTTCAAAAAGACGTCAGCAAACGGAAGTAGATGGATGTTTTGTTTATAGCACGCAATCATTTGACCGACTGAAGTTTTTTTTTTATATGAGTATCGAGAAAAATTTTGAAAAAAAAACTTGAAATTTATGAATTTTTTTCTTTTGCAAATTTTTGTATAGGCGACCATAGCCTCATCGAGGAAAGTGTTTTACCAGGGTTGGTGCTCTAGCCTTGTATCTGAATAGCAAAAAAGGTTCTCCGCAGCACCTTAATATTGTACGCAATAGCTTTTTGTCATTTTAAGAAAGAAAAAAGTCGCTTTTTAAGCCTGATTTATTGATTCTTTTTTCTATTTGAATGAAACTTTTGAGCTTTGATATTGTAAATTTTGGCTTTCCACAGTCGTTGGAAAATATGGTTTATGATTTCATGTCATTCAATCTATTTTCAAGTGGTTATAAACATGTCTCAAGTACCTATTGAGCTATCTCCCCCCCACGCGAGAATGGGGGGGAGATTGCTCAATTGATCCATTGTTTAAGACTGACACTTTTTGATCAATTATTCCAATTTAATAAAAACTGAATCAGTGGGCGTATTTTTAATCACATGGTAAATCAAAATCCTCTTTCAAAATTAAGTGAAAACTTTATAAGCGCCATTTGCACTTTTATTACTCGCCTGCGTGTTTTGCACTTTAATTTGAGTGTTAAAGTGCAAAACACGCTTGACTTTAAAAAGTTAGACCATAAATTCCAGAAACAGGTAGACCAAAAATAGTTAATGCGAACACCACATTAACTATACTTTTTAAGAAAAATAGTTAATTTTTCTTAAAAAGAAATTAACTATTGACGACTTAATTAATTATGCTCTTTTCGTGTTGAGTCGAGTTGTGTTGAGTCGTGTTGAGTCTCTTTTCGTGTTGATTTTATTTGACGAGCTGTATTTGAGCACCCATAAGGCCATGGAATAAGCTCAAAGACAGCCGGAAATGTTCTTCTCGCTACCTGTGGTGTTCGCAGAATTTGATTCTGTACAGCACTGGGTCCACTTTGCCGTCCTCCATGATGTACTTCGCCCTCAGAGTAGCCTCTCCCTCGTCGAACAGCCCCGCACGCATATCTTCGAACAACTGTAGGGACTCCACCATGGGTCTGTCTCGCCATGGAGACATGCAAACATCCTTGGCTAAAACACAACACACAATAAACAAGCCATAGCGCTCAATTCGCCCACGTGTGAACAAAGGGAAAACAGGAAGATTACTAGAACCTTTGAAGTTGATATCGTCGAACTGCTGGTGACAGACGTAGGCCAGTCCCTTCTTGATGAGAGTGACTGCATGTTGGTAGAGGGTGTCGAAGAAGTCGCTGCTGTGGGTGATCCTGTGTGGCTCGTATCCCAGCCAGCGCACCATGTCCAGAATACCAGTGAAGTATCGCTCCTCCTCCTTCTCCGGGTTCGTGTCGTCATACCTCAGATTGCAGTGACCTCCGTGTGCCTTGGCAAACCCAAAGTTGATGTTGATGGCCTTTGCATGTCCTAAGAAGTTCATAATACACTAGCTGCAGCAAAAAAAGGATAACAAAATGTACTGTTAGAAAAAAAATAAGTTACTTTGTTTTATTTCCAATGGCTTGAGGATGTCAAAGACAGCATTGACTTATTTTGCCACATTTATGTTAGACAACGCCCAAACAAATTAGACATGACCACCAGACAGTTGGGAAAATTTCAATGAAAAACCAAAAAAAAAAAACGACAGATTACTGTCGATACTTTTTCAAAGAAAATAATATGGCCTTAAAGCTCCTTGAATTTCAAGAAAAAAAATAATAATCTTTTTTCACACTGAGCGAGTTAGCAGAAAAAAGATGCAACCAAAGCTAATATGTCGCAAAAAAAGTCGAAAAACAACTATTACAAACATTTCATCATTTTTTCTCGAATTATGTTCAATTTGAGGAAAACAGGTCCAGCAATAAAACTGTTGGCGTTAAATAAATATTCAGGAACATTAATGGAACGGCTACTAAGCCGATTAACTTTGACAAACTCCCGTTGAGTCGAAAACAAAAGTGTTGTCATGAAATTTTTGAGCTACATTTTGTTCTGATCAAGATTTACCATTTTGTTTCCGGCAGGAGGGAGATAAAACTTACGTTTGTCATCAACGCACGCAAAATTAGGTCATTGAGCCGATAATCAAGTCCGAAAGAAGAAAAATCATAAAGAAAGGAAACATACAAAGTCTGGGCCAGTAAATTAAAAAACTAAGCAGGAGTAAATCAAATATCAAATATACTCCAAATATACTCCGTATACAGTTAAAAATGCTTACAGCACGAATTTTCGATGTTGCAACTAAGCCGACAAGAGATAGCTGATAATGATCAGGCACAGAGGTAAAGCTGAGCGTCGCAACACTTGCGATACAAAAAAGAATAACCACAAATTAAATCAAATGAAAAGAAAAATCAGAAACTGAAGAAAAACTCCAAAAATCGTTTTTGTCACGAAAAGAACGCGAAAAGGGAACTAAGCCGGGAAAAAAAAGAGGACCGACAAAAAAAAACAGACGGACGATAGTCCGAAAAAGCACAGAAACTCAAGTATGCAAAAAACAAGTCCTAGCTGGATTCACACCTCAAGCCGTTGCCGACTCAAGCAGATGTGTTACCATTACGCGCCAGCTGCGCCGGAACGATTGATTGAATTTGAATCTATACACACAGGCGAAGCTGCGCTTCGCACACTCGACCAAAATCAGCTCTATAGTGCAAAAAGAAAGTAGAAATAAGCACCGAAATATGTTTTACAAATTCAACTAGGTCTCGGATTCGATATTCGACCAACGACGACCTAGATAATTTGATGCTCATGCACTAACCACTCAGTCACGAAAGCTTAACTAATCACAAACACTAGCCTCAGATGCAACAGATCGTGATTAAAACAAATGTGCCGCCAAATAACGAACACTTAGCAACCAAAAATTGAAACATAGGCGCTACGCGCAATACACCGAAGGCATAGAAACTGAAGCAAAAACCAAGCAACTTGAACAACTAATAATTGAAGAATAACAGTTCTAGAACAAAAAATCGTACTAATACATGTATACACCAAAATTTTGCTATATCGAGAAAGAGCCTGAAATAACAGTTCTAGAACTAAAAATCGTACTAACACATGTATAGGTTAAATTTTTGATATATCAACGAAGATCATAAAATAACACTTCTAGAACTAAAAATCGTACTAACACATGTATACACCAAAATTTTACTATATTGACAAAGAGCCTGAAATAACAGTTCGTGAGCTAAAAATCGTACGAACACATGTATACACCAAAATTTTGCTATATTGGCAAAGATCATGAAATAACAGTTCGAGAGCTAAAAATCGTACTAACACATGTATACGTCAAATTTTTGCTATATTGACAAAGATCATGGAATAACAGTTCTAGAGCTAAAAATCGTACTAACACATGTATACACCAAAATTTTGCTATATTGACAAAGATCATGGAATAACAGTTCGAGAACTAAAAATGGTACTAACACATGTATACAATAAAATTTTGATATATTGACAAAGATCATGAAATAACAGTTCGAGAACTAAAAAACGTAATAACACATGTATACACTAAAATTTTGATATATTGACATAGATCATAAAATAACAGTTCGAGAACTAAAAATGGTACTAACACATGTATACGCTAAAATATTGCTATATTGACGAAGAGCCTGAAATAACAATTCTAGAGCTAAAATCGTACTAACACATGTATACACCAATATTTTGCTATATCGACAAAGAGCCTGAATAAACGTTGTAGAACTAAAAATCTTACTAACACATATATACACCAAAATTTTGCTATATTGACAAAGAGCCTGAAATATTGACAAAGGAACTGAAATAACAATCGTAGAACTAAATGTCGTACTTACGCATTGTAGATCAATTTCTATAGCTATAATAAAATACAAAAGATTGTGTTTGTATGTGTAGCAAAACGCCTCCTGTTTTACACCTAATACAAGTATACACAGACCAGTTAATTGAAACTACAGTGTACCTATTACAAGTATACACAGATCAGTTAAACTAAAGAAACTGTGTACCTAATACAAGTATACACGATCAGTTGATTGAAACTACAGTGTACCTAATACAAGTATACACAGCAGTTGAAATAGAAAAACTGTGTACCTAATACAAGTATACACAGACCAGTTGATTGAAACTACAGTGTACCTAATACAAGTATACACAGCAGTTGAAAAAAAACTGTGTACCTAATACAAGTATACACAGACCAGTTGATTGAAACTACAGTGTACCTAATACAAGTATACACAGCAGTTGAAATAGAAAAACTGTGTACCTAATACAAGTATACACAGATCAGTTGATTGAAACTACAGTGTACCTAATACAAGTATACACAGCAGTTGAAAAAAAACTGTGTACCTAATACAAGTATACACAGACCAGTTGATTGAAACTACAGTGTACCTAATACAAGTATACACAAAAGTTGAAATAGAATAACTGTGTAAATAAATAAATAAATATATAAATAAATAAAAGCAAAAGTGAAATGTACAAATAATTAAATAGACATGAAAAAATATATATGAACAAATAACCAAACAAACAGACCCATAATATGAATAAATGAAAATAAATAAATGAAATAAATACACATACATAAATAATAAAAGCAAAACTAAATGAAAGAAAGAATAATTAAATAAATATAGAAATAAATATCAACAAATAAACAAAACACACCTGATAAATAAATAAGCAATAAAAAAATAAATCAATACATAAATAAATAAATAAATACATAAATAAATACATAAATAAATAAATAAATAAACAAATAAAAGCAAAAGTGAAATGTACAAATAATTAAATAGACATGAAAAAATATATATGAACAAATAACCAAACAAACAGACCCATAATATAAATAAATGAAAATAAATAAATTGAATAAATACACACGCAGAAATAATAAAAGCAAAACTAAATGAAAGAAAGAATAATTAAATAAATAAACAAAACACGTGATAAAAATAAACAAAAATAAATATGTACATACATAAATTATAAATAAATATAAGCAAACTAAACATAATTAAATAAATAGAAGAACAGATAATTAAATAAATAAAGATGAACAAATAAAGAAACAAACATACGCAATCACGTGACATAGCGCGATATAGTCCAGCCCACATGATAATTGATAACTGTGGACGTTATTTGTCGACACTTGACAACAGACAACATTAAAAAAAAAAAAAACCCCATTACACGATACCATAACACCTTGACTAAAGTCTTCGGTGTAATCAGCTAGTTTTATTTGCGAGTTAGGTTAGAAAAAAGGTTCGTAATAATAGACTAACGCTCCCAAGCTTGCTAGTGTAAAAAAGGAAGCATATGAGGGAGTCCAGGAAATGCTACAGACCGTGATTAAAGCAAAAGTGCCGCCATATAACGAACACTTTGCAACCAAAAACTGAATAAGCGAGTTTTATTTCCGAGTTAGGTTACAAAAAAGGTTCGTACTAATACATTAACGCTCCTAAGCTCGCGAGTGTAATAAAGGAGCATATGAGGGAGCCCAGGAAATGCTACAGATCGTGATTAACACAAATGTGCCGCCAAATAACGAACACTTTGCAACCAAAAACTGAATAAGCGAGTTTTATTTCCGAGTTAGGTTAGAAAAAAGGTTCATAGTAATACATTAACGCTCCTAAGCTCGCGAGTGTAATAAAGGAAGAATATGAGGGAGTCCAGGTTCTACGAGTCCTGTGAACAATTTACGGGGAAAAAAGTCTAGTACCCAATTGCAAACCCTTCTTATCGCAAGGGTAACAAATAATAGGCCGACAAATTTTTTGAAACTGAAGTTTGAAAAAAAAAACAGGTACTTCCGAATCCAAGGCCTTTGCCTCCCCAGGCGTAGTCGTTACCTCTAGACCAGCTGTTGCATATTCCGAAAAATTTGAATTTATTATAAATCAAGCAACCAAGTGATTCAATGATTCTGTTTAACTAGTTGTTAACCCGACAAACAGTGGATATTCCAATTTGATAACGCTTGCTAACCGCAAGCGTAATAACTAGCCCAATAAGAAAAAACTGGATCATTAGGTAATGTTTTTACTCCGCTGGGAAATCTTACAAATCGACTTTCAAAACTAACGCTTTTTGCGCCATTTAAATTTTTGTTATTAGAAAGCTCAATTTGACTTCCTTTAAGCAAATATTTTAGAATCGAACTGAAAAAGAAATCAGAATTCAAACCGCGACAAAATCAAAATGGAGCGTGAACAACTTTTAGAATTTTTTACTGAAAAAAAAAAAATTCAAGACACTTATAAAATTCTAACCGATGTGTAGAATGCCGTTTGGTTCCGGTGGAAACCTCGTATGAACCACTCCATTCGCCCTCTCCTTATGTGCTTCTAGTCTCTATAAACAAAAAAAAACAATATCTAATTTCAAATCCTTTGGAGATAACTCAAGCTCTTTTTCTGCCAACAATCTTCCCTGTAAAAGTCTTCTAACAGGGATGCTTAGTTGATCACCAATGTAGACGACATCTCAAATGAATTCCAAACGCTAGAACTTCTTTACGTTACCCTTTTTTCACATTAAGCTATTGTCACATCAAACTGTTTTAACTTGCGTCTAGGAACCTACCAACAATTGCGCTTGCATTGCATTGGTTTCACAACCTGTTTTCTCATATTGAACTTAAATCGGATGAGAGGCAAGATTTTTTCAATATTAGACAGTAATCTAGAATTTCCTTCATGTTTTCATCAGTGACAAGGTATCCCTCCGTAGTGTGGTTCTCTCCCACCCCGTGTAACTTCAGACCCTTGAACATGTCCGCCTTCTCCTCCGACTGATCAAACCTGAATGAGTCATTGTCCTCCTCCATGGTGCCATTTACACTCCCATTTCTCTCAATCGTCACAGTTGCTGGCTAAATAGCAGAAACTCTCATTTTTACTCATACAATCAAAATAAAAGCATTAAGCTGTACGTAAAAAATTTAACAAATCTTTGTAAACGAAATTCGCCAGACTGATAATCTTATTAGTAAAAACTAAGCGGTTTCGGAAACTTTTCTGTGAAACTAACTAAAACATAGCCAACTGACAATAAAAACATAGCCAACGGACAGTTGGAACAGAGTAATGAACGCAAGGAAACTGAAAAAAAAACTGACTTGTTTTTTGAAAAACAGAACAACTTCTGAAATTCGAAGGAAAAAATACATGACCTTAAGGCTCTTTGAAATTATGATTGACACATTGTTGACAAAATGAACCCAATTTGAGAAAACTATATCGAAAGGTAAAACTTTTATTTCGCTGCGAAATCTGATAATTAACTTCCAATTTCGGAAATTAGAAGTCGATCACAATTTCCATGACCTTTGCACTTTTGCTATTCGATAGTCGAGTTTGCCTTCCTTTTAACAAAAAAAAACAGAAAGGAACTGAAAAAAAGTCAAACCGCGAAAAATAAAAATTGAGCGTGAACAAATTTTAAGACTTTTTCCTGAACGTTTTCCTGGAAAAAAAACAAAAAAAATCACCAAGACCTACACTAGATGACAAAATTAAGCGCAAGCTAGATTTTTTCAGCAATTTTCAACCTCAGAACGGAAATAACAATTTGGTCATGCCTTGCCGTTTTTTGAACAGGAAATGGTTTTTTGTTTGTTGTTTCTTGAAAAAAGTTTTGATGCAAAAAAAAAACAGCTCAAAAAATTTGGCAAAAAACTATTCTAACTGGCACTTGCCGACCGTCACGGAAAAACCACCGGTCGCAAAAAAAACAAATTTTTCGAGAATTTCGCGCGGTTTTCGCGAATACGGTTTCCAATGTTGTAGACCACTTGAAAGTCAAATAATGTCCAAAAAAACTGTGCGCTGGAATAGCCAATGGAAAGAAGTTCTTTATAGCTATGAAAATCAATTCTGCCTCCATCTCGATGACGGTCGGACAAAAATTTATCAATTACCACAAACCCGATACAAAATGAATGCAATTCAAATTAATCTCTAGAAAAAACACAGGAACTATGGCCTGGGCTAGCATTACTGAAAACTTGCGAACCAATTTAGTTTTTCTTGAAAGAAATTTGAATAGCGAACGGTACATAAATGAAGTTTTGAGACACAAAGGAATGCCATTTATGCGACAAGGCCCTGAAATATAGATTTTTCAACATGATAAGGCAACTCATACTACCGGGCCAATTGAACAATATTTGCGAAGAAAACGAGTTTCAGTTCTTCCAAGGCCTCCTGGTTTAGCGGATTTATCACCTTTTGAGCATGTTTGGGACAAAAGGAAAACTCGAAAATTTCGACCAATTCCGGAAAACGTTGACAAACTAAAATCGGCACTTCAATATTTATGGTTGACAATTCCTCAAAACTCGACCAAAACTGCAGTTGATTCAATGCCAAGTCAAATAATGTTTGCAGACGTTCATTGGGGCATTCTACCCGCTATTAGAAATCAAAAAACCAAATTTATGTAACTTGTTTTTAAAATATTTTCAAAAAAGTTAGCTTGCGCTTAATTTTGTCCACAAGTGTATATAATAGTACTCCGCAATGGCACTTTATTTATTTTATTTATTTAAATATTAATCATGAGTAATCAAATTATCATAACACAATATGCAAAAATTCAAAGATAACTCATGATAGGACAACCAGAAAGCCAACGAGAGGCTTGTTGAAGGTTGCCCCGTAAAGGAATCACATCATATGACATCAGATCAAAAGGTTCAATAATTAATTTAGGTCAAGAGGCAAATTTAAAGCGAAAAAAAAACGAGACTTAAATAAATAGTGCAATCACTCTTTTTTTTTAAATTTAAGATCTTTATTCTTTAACATGAGAACCAGAGATATGATGCAAGCTTATACTTACAAGGGTATACAACTGACAGCGGGCGGACGCGAAATAATGACTGTTAATTTATGAGTCATTACTTGAAACTGAGTCAATCAAATAAATTGAACAATCAGGAGTAGCACTCGACTGAATTAGTTTACTCGTGAAGCGGCTGATAAGGTTTTATTCGAACAGGTGATACCTTCGACGGTGCCTGGGAGTACGCGACTGTAGGCTGCCTCTTCTTCTTGTTCGAATCCTGCTCTGTCTTGGGCCCGAGCAGGTGCTCAATGCATGCATCTACTGTCTGCTTCACCACCTTCCCGTCCGCCCACTTCATGTTCGGCTGCTTCGTCTTCACATCCGAAATGAGCTGACCGATCGGGTACTGGTACCTCTCCTAAACAAATACAAAACAGCATCCATCTTTATCGACAGGCCACACCTCGAAGTGTGGACTCTTTTTGTTTTTCGTGTTTGACGAGATTCGCTCTTGCAACCGAATTGTGGTATTACAACCGAAAGAATAAATGTATCTCTAGTAACCAGTAGAAAGTGAGACTTCTTAATTATTCGCCTTATCATTACATTTTTTTTCTGTTAAGCTCCCGTTCTTCACCAGTAAATTATTGATTGTCTGGCTCTTTCTCCTTATTGTCCCCTATAAATTATAGAAACCAAATAAACAAAATTCAATTTCGGCTATATATTTTTTGTAGCAAGGCTGGATAGTTATGATTGGAAAGAGCCGATTGTCCATTTCTATTAGCTTGCACATATCCATCCACTCACCTCAATAAGTTTGGATCTGTGTTCCTCTATCACAGCCTTGACCGCACCAACGATGTCATCTTTCGTCACATCTACTCCAATTCCACACAACTCCTCAAACTCCGAAATACTGAAACAGATTAATGGGATAAATTTAACCATAAAATTAGATTCAACGTCCTAAAGAAATGGAGTTTTGCAACATGATTACGCAAGAGGACCCTATAACACTGTTAAATTTTATTTCAAATTTAATTAGATGTAAGCTGTCTTCTTAAAAATGTGCCCTATTTGCTTAAGCCGGATAACTTCTATTGGAACAGGCAGTTCGGATTCCGAGGGCGTGTCAATGTGACTTACTTGACGTCTCCAACTGGATTATCCATGAAGTACTGCTGCACAGCATTGACCTGCATCTCACTACTCACTTTCCTGTTCATGATGTATGGCAGCACCTGGTCCACACTGCGAGCATCCTTCAGCTTAGTGGCACAGTGGTACAACAGCTGACCCTGCGACTTGTCTGAAATCAACGACACGCTCCTTTAATTACAACAGAACAATTATCAACAAGGCAGCACAAGTTAGTGCCATTTCAGGAACCTTAGAGAAAGCTGGAAAAAGATCGACAAAGGGGAAGAACTCGGACTTCGGTGTGTTCGTTTTTTAAAAAAATTTTTCCACGCACTAACACGTATCACAAATATTCATGGGAATGGGTCGAAAGATATATCATATTAAAAGCCTTTCAGTCGTGATTTTTACCCATTTGTTGTAATGATGTTAGACAATTGCACTAGGCTTGCAAATCAGGGCTGAAAATTTGAAATCTCAAATCCCTGTAGTTTTTGAGAAAATTTTACTAATAACGAAAAAAAATTTAATAACTTAAAATAATAAAATAATTATCTTGAAGTTTTTTCATTGATATGATTAATGGGTAGACTCTAAGTGGGCAATCTCTATGCCCACTGTCTATCCACTCCAAAGTCTGGTGCTCATAATGTGGGCATAAATTTTCCATTTCTAGTAAATGTATATTTGTTATATGCTGATATTGTTTGTAGTAACTTATGGAGAAATAAATTCTTCTTCTATAAAAAATTCCATTTGAAATTTTTAATTTTTGGACTAATTGCGAGCGATTAAAGCGACCGAGCTTGGAGGACAAAGTGTAATTCAAGCAGCTTTTACTCCAGTAAAATTAAATTTTGTAGCTTTTTCGCGCCAATTTGAGAACAATTTTTTGTTGAACTTAAAAAAAATGTTTTTTATATTCATGTTTCGAAAGAAACCAGGGTTGACGTCCATAAAAGAAAAAGGCTTATCATACAATTTTTATACAAAATTTAAAAACTGTATTTAACAATTTTAGAGAAATACTTCTGTTCTATTTCCATCTTTTGAATCTTTCTGCTCAATAAAACATGATTTTAATTTTGGTCAAAAAAATTGAAAATCGTATGATAAGCATTTTGCTATAGATTAAACAAAATCTTCAAAAATAATTTAACGACGATTCTGGATGAAATTACATGAGTTTTAAAAAACTTTATTGAAAGAATGCAATTTGACTCTCAAAAACATGATTTTAATTTTGGTCGAACAAATGCTTATCATATAATTTTCATATATGAAAATTGTATGATATGCATTTTTTCATGAGCAAAAACACAAATTTGAGCTAGAAAATTTTAATCCCTTTTTTAGTTGCATATTTGCTTTTGTGCCCAAATATAAATTTTTGCGAAAAAAAAATTTGCATGCAAAATTTGACTGTTTGTGTTTATAACGTAGTCCAGGATAAGTTTTTCACCCAAAAAATCCAAAAATAAAAATGTTTTTTTTGTACACACAATTATTATTTTTTAATTTTATTTGCTAAGATAAAAATAAATTTGTAAAACAAACAGGCCTTTTTTCTCAACTACCAAAGTTTTCAAACCAGAAATTATCTAGCCATATACAAAAAGTTACATTTTTGGTATATAATTCCATGTGAAAATGTAATGATTAACGTAGGTGGCAAAATCACCAAATGCAGTTTATCTGCGTGGTAACTGCCAGTAACACTCTAGGTTTTTTTATGACAAAAAGTCCAGCGTTAGTGTTTCGGATGAAACACAATTTCAAAGCAAATATTTTTTGGTATTTTCATTTATGGAAAAACTGCTCATCATACAATTTCATTGTATGGAAAAAATGCCTATCATAATATTTCATAGTATGGAAAAAAATGCTTATCATGCTATTTTCATAGTATTTTTTTGGTCTGTGAAATAGTATGAAATAGTATGATAAGCATTTTTTTTTTCATAATATGAAATAGTATGATAAGCATTTTTTGTCAACCCGGGAAGTTGTTGTCGAATATGCCTAATTTACTATGCCTACCGAATATCACTAAAAGCTAGACTTTCGTTTAGATCTTCTCATCACACCACAGAAAAAACGACAACTTGACAAAAAGATACGTTTTTTTTACTAAAGGTACGTTTTTTTTTTAAAAAGATACGTTTTTTTTTAACAAAAAATACGGTCAGAATTTTCTGTACTACTTGCACAGCAACCGGCTATCCGTGGATACAATTGCTTTTCCTATTTGTTGAAAGCTTAATTGCTTGGAAATTTCCTTGAAACTAAAACCCGACCGAACCAAATAGCCATGAATAGCTTCGAACGTCGACGCTCGCAAATGGCAAGAACAGGATTTTTCAAAGGACTCTTGCACTACCCAGCATGCAATCTCATGGCTTTGCTTTTCGGAGGCAGCCGCCAAACAAAATCAATGAGACATGGCTGCTATTGATTTGATGTGAGCTGATCGCTGACATTAGTGTGCAATATATCAAATTACATGAATACATGTCGATTCAAAGCTTAACTTTTCCAAGATCACATACACTCTCGAGCGTTGCCTTGGACGTTCGATCAGATCAATAACAGTATCTTATTGCTCCTCTGGCTTTTCTTTGGTGTCCCGGTACCAATCAGATTTCAAGCAGGGGAACCCTGTCAAGTTCAAACAGATCACATCTGTTCAAAGATCTCTAGAAATTCTGGTTACATAAAGCGCGCTCAGCTGTGAAATTAGCGCCTTAATATTATTGTCTAGTTCATTCATCTGTCAAATAGTTCTATAGCCTAGACCAATCTATAGCCTCAAGCTGGCTGAAATTCTGGCTGAAAGATCCGCAATGAATAGACGGATTTAATGGACGTAAAATACACAAAGAACGAAGATGAGAAGGTACGGCGCAGGAATTTTATCGACATTATCAAAAACGCGCAAAACTTCAAAAAAAATCAGTTTGAACTGTTTGGCAAAACAGAGTTCGATTAATAAAAAAAAAACAAATCATGACGTGGGTGACAAAATCGGTCGTCAAAAATGGTACCAAAGTAAATAACTTAATTGAAAACAATCTTAATGACTTACAATAATCAGTATAACCAATTTGATATGCAGATAATTCATAAACGGTAGAGGGAGAAAAAATTGGTTCAAAGGGCGAGTATTTCTGGACTCACCTATAGAGTGAGGGCTGGAGTGGGGAGTTAGTTTGGAAGCAGTGAGGATGATGCCGTTTAGTCTGTCACTTAGCTGCTTGTTCTTCAGTGTCTCCTTCGCCCTCTGCTCACTCAACCCCACAGACATGAACAAATCCAAAGACATTTCACCTGTTCCACTTACTAGTGCAACTCTATTTTCAATGCGTTCTATTTTCAATTTAATATAATCTCAATTCAATGTAATCGGTCAGCTCAGCTATCGTCAAAACAAATCAGTCACCAACTGAAAAAGAAAAATTCAGTTAGCACAACAAAACACGCCACATCCCTCCCACACATCACAATTTTATCAAAGGTAAGGTTCTACTGGTGAAAAAGACTCGAAAACAAGGCAACGTACAGTTTTTTATTACTGTTTAGATGCAAAATTCGATTTCCATATGCTGACATCACGACATAATAAAGAAATATTCAGTTTATTTTTCACAATGAAGCTGAAATGATTCGAATCTAGCTCATTAACATCAATATTAGCAATGGTCTGGGCCAATTTGTGCTTTAATTCAAGAGAACAAGCACGAAACACATCTTCAATAACACGGGAGGCAATTTTATCTGTAATCAAACTCGGAACTATTTTCAACATTTTCTTCATCAATTTGTCCTTGCTTTTATCACTCGATTGAGATTTAAAGATAGCACCAAAAATGAAACTCATAAAACGATCGCTAGCTAATTTACTCAAAAACTCAACATCAGATTTAGTTAGACTTTGCATTAGGCTCTGTAAAACAATTGTCGATTTCCAACGCAACATGGATTGTATGAGAGTCGACGCATGGTATGAAAAAGCAAGTCCTCTTCCATTCTCAGACTCGATCGCTGCCTTGTAAACTGGTTCAGTCACTAAATAACTCAACAGCATAAATGATATACTTCTGTCTGAGCATTCAAATGCTTCCATGATTGATTCGAATAGTTCTCGTTGACTTTCCACTTTCTTGACCGAGTTACAAAGACTGTTCAATAGACCAAAGTTCCCACTTTCCAAAATATATGGGATTTCGGTTTTCAAATTTGACACAATTTCTTCCAATTTATTGCTCGAAATGGTGGACAAGCTTAGCAGTTTTTGCAAGATGAAATTTCCAACCCTGTCGCGACACAACTCCGAGCAGCTTTCAGTGATAGCCGACACTATCTTACTTGTGCCAGCAAAATTTTCCAATTCCAATAAGACCTCAATAACTCTACTGAACTGCAAATCTTTGCTGAGCATAACCACTTTACTATTGAAATCGTCTGAACTGTTCAATAGTTTTTCCATCAATTTCTGTAACTCCGAGGAAAGTTTACATTTGTCTAGAGCCCGCAAATAATTCTGCAAAGTGAGGGAGAAAATTTTGTTCTCGATGTTCGAAGCTAGATCAATGACGGCGAAATTGTGGGTGAAATTGGAAAGAATGCTCTTTTGATTGTCAGGAACATCATGTTGTGCTTCGGAGATAATTTGCGCTTTTCCTTCTGAAATCAAACAAACTATATTATTAATGCAAAGAGCAGAGACCCAGCAAACGCCCAGCACCCAACTCTCAAACAAAATTGGAAACAACATCATTCGTCTGTTTCAAATTTTCTGCTTTTACTTAAATCTATGAAAAGATGCATTTCTATTAATTTATGATTTTAAGACAATTTTGCAACTTTGAAAGCACCTAAAATTGCCTTCAATTTCCCTCATTATTTTGGTTAATATCAGATAGTAGGTCTTAAAATAATACAAGACTGCTCGTACCAGGGCGAAGCCCTGAATGTTCCGACCGCCTTTTAATGTTTAAGGAGCAGTAATAACATTTAAGAAATTAAATAAAATAAAACAAAATGAAATTTTTTTTTTCTGAAATTTGACTTTTTTTAATGAAAATCATCCCCCACACTCCATATTAAGTACAAAAGGATAAATTTCGCTCCTTGTAACAAATCAATTATGGCAAATAAGCTTCTTTCAACCAATTTGGAACGATTTCTAAGACGGATTAACTCTCCGCTTACACGTTAATAGCGCGAAATATATCGCGCGTTAATTGTCCCAAATTGGCCAAAATGGCAATCTTTAAACCCCCGTAACTTTACGAAAAATGATCACAGGTAAAATATCTTTTCAAATTTAAGCTCAGGACAACAATACCTTTCGAATGATATAAAAAATTCCGTCAAAAATGGCTAGTTAAAAAGAAATTTGTCTGAAGAAAAAAAAACCCACCCCGAGCACAAATATTCCGTTACTTTCGTATCGAAAGTCGGAACAACAAGTCACTTGCTCTCGCAAGTGAAAAGATAGTAAGACCTATGGCCCAACTTCTGTGGAAAGTTCGGAGTGAATTACCGGGAGCCGAATGACTAATCATTTTCTTCTTACCTTGTGAATTCGTTCGCGAGTAGCTGTCACTTTCCATCAGCAGACAGAGAGCAGCCCTGGCCAAGTAATTCGAGTAGATGTTCGTCATTACTTCACCGAAGCTGTCACTCATAGCTTCAAACAGCTTCTCAACAAACACCAATAGCCCGTCCACTTGGACTAGTCTTTTACCACTCTTCTGAAGTCTTTCCAGTAGACTCCGGCAACACTTCTCTAGAAACTCGGATCCCGCCCGATTTGACAAAAGATGCTTCAGCTTCGTTTTTGAATTGAACGGAGAAACGAAAGCCATGATCTGTTCGCCTGTCCAAAACTGAACAACCGATGAAATAGAGCTACATGTGTTCTCTTTGCTTACTACTGCATATTCGGATCCCTCGACGGCAACAAGCATATCGCCCGCTAGTTCCTCCTTTCTCTCCCATTCTGCTCGTTTAATTAGATCTTTCAGACGCAGTAAGTATCGCATAGTTCCTTCATCTATGCCTGGCGAAGAAACTGCATTGCTTTTGGAGTGTTGAGACGAATCATTTGCTTGATACACGCCGTCTGTATCGAAATATCTAGAACTTGCACAGTGACCCCTTCCACCACCTCGCCCTCTGCCTCTGTAAGAGGCACTAGTGTAATCGCGATTATTATCTCTGCTCTGATTTCGATTATTTTCGGTTTTTATTGGTGGACCGTGATCCTGCTCAGCGTTGACAGCTCTTCCTATTAGTTCCGATTCAGAACTCTCCGAGAATTTAGTGTGCTTTCCACTCCTATATCCAAACTGGCCAAAACTCCCTCCCCTGCTCTCTCGATTGTGTTGAAATTCATTTCGCTGCTGTTCGAATGATTGATTTGCAAAACACATCCCATCTTCTTTGTTGAGAATTTCTTTCGAGCCTTTTCTATCAATTTGAAAACCCGATAAAGAATGTTGTTCCGACGATTCAACTTCCGACGAGTTGAAATGATCATGGGTTTCGTCATTGTTTTCTTTCTTAGCTTTCTTCGGCTTGACTGCTTTCGGTTTCTTAAATTTTTTGACCAGAAAGTCCAACTCTTCTCTTCGCTTGCGTGAAGACACAGAAGTTGTGTACTTTTCAGACATAATTTGACCAATCTTAGAGGAGCATTTAAACTGGAAATCAGACCTACACTTAAACAAAACATAAATTTTCACAGTGAGTTACAGGAAGTTAAACGAATAATTCAGATGAAGTGGGTAAGACAGCAGGAAAACAAAAGTGCCGAAGAGCAGGCTTCTTACAGCTCTGGAATGATATAAATACATCACTAAAGATCATTGTTTTTGCCTTTAGCAAGAAAACTCAAATTAAAGTTCCAAACTGGTCATAGGAAACATTCCATAATTTCACAGTTTCATCGTCGGAAGCACTTAATAGCACGTTATCATAAACAGGGTTCCACGCTAAGGAATTCACATCTCGACTGTGCGCATGTTCACACTTGGTGAGAAGTGAATATGCGGTGGGATTTGAGGAGAGATTTTCTGGCTTGTATAGACATATTGAGTCGTCGCCTGCTGCTGTGGCAATGCAGTTTGACAATCTATTCCACGCAACATCGTAGATGGGCCTGCTGTGATCACCGGAAAGCGTTAAGTCGCACTTGTAGCGTGGTACACTGGATGATGAAGGTTCAACTCCTTGGTCACTACCTGTTCAAACCATTTTTAAATCAGCGTAGACTGGTTAAAACTTTTCTTTACCTCGCAGTAGATAGCTACAAAAATATCAACAGCTTCTACCTGCAACAGAAGAGTTTGGAAAAATGAAAAAAATCCAGTTGAATTTCAAGACCCCAAATCAGCCGTTAAATTCGACAATTCCGACACAGAGGCATCGCAGCATTTCACTAGCTTAAGCAAAAAAACTGTAAGCTTAAAATATGTTGAGCTGCAATGATTTCTTCACAAACATGCTCAAGTGGTCACGAGTGACTGGTTGGGACTCCGTTAAAAAATCAGATGGCAATTTTTGAAGAAAAAAAATCGAGCTTGAAAACCAAGAAACCGAAAAAAAATCTGCCTTTCTAAGACCTTAAGAAAGGAAGACTAATTCTTTTATCTAAATTTAGTAACTACCTTGGTAAAATGCTTTCCATATTTTTAGCGTCAGATCGTCGGAGACAGAGGCGAGGGCTGATGCATCCCTGTTGGTATCCAGGGACCATACAGTGCTGCCGTGATTCTCCAGAGTCTGCACACAGTTCCAGTCGTCCATCTCTGGATCTTCTTCGTACATACGGATGGTACTGTCGTAGCCACAGGAGAAGAGAACGTTTCTTTCCGGATGGAACAACACCTTCTTGACGTCCTGGTTGTGGTTCGACAGGATGGAGATGCACTCGAAGTCATTATCCTCGTCTGCCTCCCAAATCTGAACAAGAGTTAGGTTAAACTTTCAGCTGGTTAAGAACGGGATAGAAGAAGACTATCTTTCTTAAACATAGGGTCAGTTGTCTCACCCAGACAGTCTTGTCTCTGCCACAAGTAGCGAGGAGGTTCCCGGAGCAGTTCCATGACACAGACTTCACCTCGTTCTCGTGGCCCTCGATCGTAGCCACCACCTCCAGGTTGTCACTCGTCTCATCTCGACTCCACACACAAACTGTACCGTCAAATGAGGCCGACGCTATAAAAAAAATATATCTAATCAATATAAAAAATGAACATAGCAATACCAAACCTAACTAATATCGAAAAATATTAGAAGGCACAAAGATATACTTTCGTATCACTCGTTGCATGCATCGCATCTTTTACAATTAAATTATTAAATTCACTCATTTTTCAAAAACTTGATTTTCGAAGTCTATGCTCTTCTATTGCCTGCAAAATTTTGCATCAAAATTTTGTATCAAATTGCACTTCTTTAAGGCAACAAGCTGGTCTTATGTATTAGGACGATTGTAATCGACGAGACTTGCCAAAAATAGCTTTTTCGAGAAATTTTTTTGCCTATCCAATTACTTCAACCAGAAGCGAGAATGCACTTTGCTGAACAACAAAAACGGAGCTCTAATAAAATTAACTACAAAAAAAAGATGAAGCGTTGTAAACAAAACCTTGAAACTAAAAAAAAACTCTCTCACTGAATCAAACTCGTAATCTGCCACTTCATAGGCAAACACATTTTCACTAGAACAAACACGCTTAACAACTCCTGTTTTATACATACTTAACGTTTCACACAGAGGCGAAGCTGAGCTTCGCACCACTTGCAATACGATACAAATATGGATCAAACAAAAAAATTCAAAAAATCATTTTATCAAATTGCAAAAAAAGTCCTAAATATACGGAGCAAAACTGCCTGCACCATAAGAAACTCTACAGAGCTTTGGGAATGCTTTACAGAACCCAAGTTTTCAAAAAAACCTTTCTGGGGAACTAAGCAGGCAAAAATAAGCAAAGAGACAACAATCACAATTAGACAAAACTTTCTATTTGCAAGAAAAACTGGTCTCAATTGGAACCGAACTCCCAGCTTTGTCGTCTCAAGCATTGGGATTACAGCAACTTGCAATAAAGCTAAGCCATTGAGCTACGGGAACTAAGCCGATAAAAAAACTTAAGGCACAAAAACTCTCTCGAAACACAAAAACTCTCTCGAAACACAAAAACTCTCTCGAAACACAAAAACTCTCTCGAAAAGGCACAAAAAGGGCCAGCAGGATTCGAACCGCAAATCTTGGCCGTCTCAAGCAGTTATTTTAAATCTATGCCAGATGCTCCGAATGATTGATTGGAATTGGATTTACAACTACTAAGCGGTAACAAAGCCGAAAAAACCTGAGCAGAAATCCTTCATGCCGAAAAGAAATTCAAAACAATTCTTTACTTAAAACAATGTAAGTCCCTTTTCCCATCAGAACACACACACGCGCACAAAAACTTTTTTTTTCGGACGTAACGACGCAATAACAGGCCCTTAAGTCGATATTAACTAGGCCGTAATTTATTAAGCCGATAAAAAAGACAAAAAAAAGTGAAAATTTAATAAATCGAGCTGGTAGAGCTGGTAAAATTACAACCAATTTGAAAAGCAAATTTCTATTTGGCCAGTTTTTTGAATTGCTAAAACAACTGCAGTTTGTAGCTAAAATAAAAGATTGTTATATAAGGCAACTAAGAGCAGACAAAAATTAGGCCAATTTTTTTTGAACCGGAACATAAACCCAGGACCTTTGCCGTCATAGGCGCATTCGTTAATACCAGGCTAAGTGTGCATGAGACACTAAAAAGTTTGAATTCATTATGAACCACCAGGAGTTCAATGAATCCTGTGGACAAAGTTGTTTACGGGAAAAAAAGGCTAGTACCAGATTGCAATACCCTTGATATCGCAAGGGCGAAAAGTGTAATACAGATGAATCAGGAAGCAATGAATGCACCGTATAAAAACGGATATATCTCCTGTTGACGTTTTAAGATTTAGCAAAAACTAACTCAAGATGGCTTTGCTTTCATATTTGTCAAAGCGTCGAGGAAGAAAGCTGTCGGCAAAACAAAGAAGCTGCAAAACGGAGCAGGTCTTTTAAACAGGGGCGAAGTTGCACTTCGCACACACAATCAAAAATATGACCAATAACGCTACTGGGAAAACTGAATGAGTAAAACTTTGAGTCTACAAAATTTCATAAGTGACGCACGCCAATTGTGAGTCTAAATAATTGCTAAGTCAAGCAAGCCAATTATGACGCATAAGCAGGACCAGTCAATTTGAAAAAAAAAGAAGAAATTTACCAATTAACATGCCTCAATTTATAGAGCAGACGCATTTTAACAAGTATACGAAAACTTCATTTAAAACTTTCGACCCTGTCCAGGTTCGAACCTTCTTATTTGTTGCGGCGGATCTCCTTCTCTACCTCTACGCTACAGCTCCATGATACCTTGAAGCTAAAATGCTATTTAAAAAATAGACTGTTAATATCCTTAGCATTGGCTGTACTTAATAGCTGGTTATTGATCAAACTGAACACTTTCGAAACCTAGACCTTATGCTCTAAAAGCCTGTGCTTCCGAAAGGACCTGAAGCTGGCCGAGGTTCCAAAATAAAGCACTGCCGATATCTTGCGTTGTGAGAAAACTTATTTATGGGCTTATGTCGAACTTTTTCATTTTAAATAAAAACTTTTTACAATCCTCACGAATAACAATTTCATGCTTTTGGACAAAAATTACCAATTTTCTACCTTGAATTATCAGAGAGTTTTAAGAAATGATACAGCAAGACAAATTTCCAAGTGAGTTATCACAGGCAAAGTTGCAATTGAAAAGCACAAAGAAAAATTAGCAAGCTTTGGGTTCGAGCTCACAACCAGCCCACATGCAAGAAAAACATAATGCCACAAAAATCACAAAACCTTCTCTTTTCTCTCATTCTCATTCTTTCACACATGCTCTGCTAATAAAACATAGCCAATCGAGGATTGAATTATCGCAAGCGTAAAAGAGTAATCAACGCAATGTACATAAAAAAACATAGACTTTCTTGAAAAAACCGAATTTCAAAAAAAAACATTAGATGCCCTTCAAGCTCTTTGAAATTCTAGAACACTATTTGATTGGCCCTTTTTGATAACATGAACCCCACTAGAGAAAACTGGATCAATAACTAAAAGTTTTTCCGGTGGAAATCTAAAAATTAAATTGCACTTTCGAAACTAGTAATCAAAAATCTAAAATCATTCACGGTTTTTGCGCCATTCCACGTTCGTATTTGGAGATTGACGTCACTTTCTTCAGATGATTTTCAATTAAACTCAAAAAATGCATATATACCTAAGTGCATTCATAAATGCATCAATATGATTGAGAACACATCTGTTGTTATTAGAGATTTTTAAGACTTTTCCTAAAAAAAATCAGCAAGACCGATATAAGAGTCTTCAGAACATTCATTACTCTTAACCAGACAGCATGCAATTTGGACACAAATTGTGCCAGTAAAAGTGTCAGATACATTGGAAAAATGGAGGAAACAAAACAGGAGCTTTGCTTGTGCAATTGGTTGATGTACAAAAATTACACGAAGGAGAATCTGCCCTTACAAGCAATAATCGCAAGTACAAGCAATAAAAACTGACAAAAAGGGACTCCGAAAAATCTAGAAATGCAAAAACACGCCGGTAAAAAATGTAACCTCGAAATACAAAAGCTGCTAAATACTAAGGCAACCTAACCTCGGATGCATCCCCCTAAACTAACCCATTTTTTCCCTTTTTTCAGTTAAAGGCCAGTGAGAGGTATTAATAGCTAAATTGATATAAAAAAAATTGCAGAATAATTAACTTGAGTTTATTCTACAATCGCTACCTTCGTCTCTGAAAACCGGGAAAATCTCTGTTCACAAAGAGTGAACACAGAACACCGTTTTTGGTTTGAAAATAGTGGACTGACTGCCCTAATAACACATTGCTTGAGTAAACAAAAATTGCATCACGTGATACAACGGAAAAAAGTTAAATTTTGTTGCCCCTTAGTACACTACTCGAAATAAATCAAGAAGCAAAAAAATTGAAGCTGACAGTTTTCGTTCAATTTGGATCAGCAAAACATTAGATTTCACCCATTTCAAAGTTAAGGACGGAACTGACTGTATCAGCATTACAGATATGATCTCAGACGTCAAACCTGTTGAAATGAAGGGTGTAATAAATGAATAAATCTAGATTTCTCGCGAATTCAAGGCAACGTGTTAATTCTAATTTCTAACAGATCCAAGTTAATATAACAACCAGACTAGACAAAAATTCTTTGAATATTAGGACCAAATGACTATTTTAACAAGTGAGCAAAAATGATACTTTAAAAGACTTAAGAGAAGTCTTATTTTTATAAACGTCACTCTTATGTTCACAATCTGGTGCAAGGTCTTTCGCGAGCGATGGTAAAAATAACTAAAAAGCACCATTAAAGCATAAAACGCATAACCCAACAAACTTTCAAATGAAAGTCGACCAATGTAAGTCTGTCGACAAGATAAACGAACATTTTATGACAAGTACCGCTTCAACATTGGACTAGTATAGACTTTGCTTCGGTCACCTCAAACAGCTCTCAGTTCCCTTTCCCAGCAGGGGTAATTAATTAGGTATAATTATGACCCACCCTAAACTATCTCATCTCAATTCCTTTCACCCTGCTCCTCAAAATGTAAATACTGTTCTTATCTCTTTAATTGTGTGAAGGGGCAGTTGGCATAATCAATATTGGTATATTAAAACTTTTATGTTGACCTGCTGACCATAACACAATTTCGCAGATGATACCTTTAATCAACAGCTGAAAACTGATATTTATTTTTGTTAACTACGTGCAACTCAAATTAAGAACTTGATAGTGCCCTCTTCAAGCGATAGCAAACATAGTAACAAAAGTACAAAGGATTCGAGGCTGCACAAAATACTACAGTTGGTTTTTGAACAACTAATTTGAATTTTATTATTTTTGTTCCAAGCAAGCGAACACAGAGAGTAGAGAAGAACTAAGTGTTTTCCTCGCGAAATTAGACAAAAAACTTCAGGTGGAGTCGAGTGCTATATTATACACATAGGCAAAACTTAAATTCTCAAACAAGCAACAAAGATGGTAAAAATGAAAAGCCGGTAAAATGATCAAACAAAT